GTTGTTTGCATCCTTTGTTTAACTGGCTCTTGATTGTTTGCTGTCTGGAATTCCCATGTTCTGTGTGGTGTTTCTTATTTACTGTCTTGTTTCTGGTGTTTTTAAAATACTGGTAACCAGAAAATGAACAAAATGTGGTTGATAGACATAAAATAAGAGAACACACAAAAAGTATAGACTTTCTACAAAAGGCACAAAACTTCAATTCCTGAGTATACGAAAGTTTGCTTGTTAATAGGTCCTCTACATGCGCTGAGCACAATGTTGTTCAAAATATTTATAAACTACTCTGATCATGGAATGTAGTAGTTGCTTATCAGGTAATTAGGAGGGTTAGCTAATACCTCAGAGGACAGAAGCAGAACCTGTTTTTAACAAGTTGCAGAAGTAGGCTAAAATAGAATGAATTTCTGCAGGGCTAAATGTAAAGTACTATAATTAGGCAGGAAAATTTAAATGCATGGATATAGATAGGTGATATCTCACCTGAAAAGGTTTTTGGGGTCTTAATAGGCTACAACCTAAATATGAATCAATAGTGTGATATGGCTGTCAAAAAAGAAGCCAATGCAGTTCTAAGCTGCATCAACAGGAATATAAGGGCCATCCAGACAGTACCTTTAACCCAGCAGCTTCCACAGCAAACAGGATAGTGGCCAGATGCCGTTCCCTGTAAACTGGAATCAATCACTACAAAAGGAAAAAAAACAACAAAAAAAGCAAGATTTCCAGGTGCGGGAATATTGTGGTTTTGAGCTGAATATGCAGATCTTCACATGTCTGTATGTGTCTGCAATCGGAAATCATGGGATTTTTTATCTGGGTTTGTTGCCAAGTTTTAGATGATTGTTCCTGGATTGATTGGTTCCTCAAAAGAAGGTGACACTTGAGTAGAAGGCAAAACTTTGTTTGTGTGCCAGAAACTTCATGATACTGAAAGGGTTTTTGAGCGAAATTAGCAATAGCTAAGCAAGGGGCTTTGAGTGAAATTAGCAATAGCTAAAGCCTTTAGTGCCTCTCCCTGTAGAAAAGGAACAGCACAGAGGAAAATGTTTTAAAAACATGTAGAGGTCATACAAAGTTCAAGGTTTTGATTCTTTGAAAAGTCACTATATTAGTGAGCTTACATAGGAAGTTGGTTTGTGGCTAAGCGCAAAGTCTGCAGGTGCGAGAAGGTACTTTCCATCAAGAGGTTGATGGGACAGGAAGAGTAAAGGTCAAAGTACAAAAATATTCTTGTTTACATGATGGTATAAAGGTTTGCAAAAAGCCGAGGAGGGGCGCAGCAGTCTGTGGATGCACTTACAAAAGTGCTGTCTGTTCACCTCATGCTGATCAGCCTGAATAAACAGTGTCTTACCTGCTGGCCACATGACTTTGGAGGTGTCTACGGACAATGCCGTTTTTTGGCCTAGAAATGGAGATGAGCACCAACCCCCAGAGTCGGACACGACTGGACTTAATGATAGGGGAAAACCTTTACCTATACTACAGGACTGCTGTCTGACCAAACACTTTATTTATACAGAAACACAGAATCCTCCATTATTATATAAGCTTTGGCTTAGTTATTTTTCTTGGCTACCTCAAAGATTAAGGTGGAATGTGGGATGTTCCACTTCCTTTTAACCTTGTGAATAATTAATTGTCTTTCCCAATAAAAGACTTAATAAGGGAGGCCCTGCTCTTGCTCCCACCAACATCGCCAATGTGGCTGGCGGGGACGAGAGACAGGGCCTTCTTGGCTGTAGCCCCCCGCCTGTGGAACGTGCTTCCAAATGAAATACGATTGACCCCATCCCTCCTGGTGTTCAGGAAGAAATTAAAATCTTGGTTTTGGGACCAGACTTTCAGACAATAAACATAAAGCAGCACTTTGTCTGGAAATGGATTGGCAAGACGATATATATGAGGATACGGTTTTATTGCTCTATTAATGGGTTTGTGCACTGAGTATTGTTTTAATGACTGTTATGATAATTTGGTTATAATTAATTGCTGTTGTTTTAACTCTGTATGTATTTATGGTTTTATACTTGTTATTGATTTGTGGCATCGAATTGCTGCCTTTGTTAGCCGCTCTGAGTCGCCCCCCCCCCCCCCCCCCCCGGGTTGAGAAGGGCGGGGTAAAAATGCCGTAAATAAATAAAATGAATAAATAAAAACTGGCTAGCATGCAACACTGAACAAATTTAGGACCATTCATTTCATAGGTCAGTTTTTCCGTGGTTTAATGAAGATAATTGAAATAAAACACAAACTAGCTTATTAGGGCAAAAAGAGATCATAAGACAGTAAATTAGCATGGATTTAATTTCAATACCTTTGATATTAGACATACACTACAAAAATATGAAAAACCACAACTTCAAAATAATTTTAATGTAATTACGATGAAGCAGGATCAAATAATGTAAAAGATGATGAAACACACCAGAGGCTGAGAATGGGGATCAAGCCATCTCTAACAACTGAAACACGTGTGTTTATTATGTTGACTAAGGAATTAAAAAACATGCATTGTTGTAGATGATCATTTATATCTTGTTGATTCCTTAATACTAGGATTCAAGACAGTTTGTAAAAATGAAACCAAATATAGATTCAAATACATACAAAAATCAGTAAAAATTATAAAGTTTTTTTTAAAAAAATACAATGTGGCATCTCAGGAAGAACTATTTGCACTTCCAGAAAGCTAGGTGAGATTTATATTGGCATTGTTGCCATTTTGGCAACAATGAACGGGTGACCTTCAAGATGTCCTTGTCCAATAAGGCCTTGCAGAACTCAGAGCCAATGTTCAGTGATAGAGTCTGTTGTGAATGTGATTATGTTGTGTGCTTCAAGCCACTATTGATTTATGGTGACACTAAGGCTAATCTGTCATGAGATTTACTTGTTCAGAGAGCAGTTGTCATTGCCATTGCACAAAGCTGAGGTCACAAAGTGGGTTACAGTGGTTGAGGAGGAATTTAATTAACCCTTATCTCACAAGGTCTTCGCTCAATCCTCAGACCACCACACCACACTAGTGCCATCTTGAATTTATTTTGAGACTGACGACCGCAGACTGATTTGCCCATCGTATGCTGCTTGCTCTCCACTTTCGACATGGAGCCCATTACACGATGCACAGGGACTTCCGACGGGGCTCCGTGGTGAAAGGGGAAAGCAAGCAGTATACACCATCATACCGGCAATGGGGGGAAGTCAGGCAGCAACGTTTACCCTGTGGGATGGGGATCCAACTAAGTTGGGTGATGCAGGGTGTGGAGTCCTCTACTGGGACCCCACGGATTAGCCATAACGCATCATGAATTCATATCCATTTGTGATGAAGTAGTGAGTTTATCCACCTGTAATATACTAGAATATCCCAATTCTGGCTTCTGATGTAGACAAAATCAAGATGAAAAAATATCTTAAGTTTGTGTTAAACCAGTTTTCATCAAGATCTTGTTGGTGGCTTTAGGAAGGAAAATAGTGTGTAATCATCTATTAAAGACTGCATCTGTCACATCAAGCTAATACTTAGGCAAAGTGTAATGTACTGACAAACCTCATTTTAGAAAGAAAGCTTTCCGTAGGTTCAGCTAGCTTTCTTCAGGGAACAGGGCTGATCACAGCAGACAATTGTCAGAACTGAAAATTTTTCAGCTACATAATATACTTAAAGCGCAACACAGTTCCAATGTTTTCAGGGGATTTTCTCTCATTTGCCAACAACACTAAACATCCTTTCCAGGTCGTAGTCTCCCTTCTCTCTTGTGCTGGACGAGTGCCTGACCGCTGTGACGGTCTGGATGAGGATGAATAAGCTGAGGATCAATCCTGACAAGACAGAGGTCAATCGTAGGTTGGATCGAGGTATAGGGTGGCAACCTTTGCTTGACGGGGTTGCACTCCCCCTGAAATCACAGGTCCGCAGCTTGAGTGTCCTCCTAGACTCAGCGTTGACACTTGAAGCTCAGGCATCGGCAGTGGCTGGGATGGCCTTCGCACAATTGAAGCTCATGCGCTAGCTGCGACCATACCTTGTTTGGGACCCGCCTACCTGCACGACTGCATTTCCGTCTACAAACCCTCACGACCTCTTTGATCTTCTGGAGAGGCCCTTCTCTCGCTCCCGCCCTCATCGCAAGCACGACTTGTGGGGACAGAGAGAGGGCCTTCTCTGTGGTGGCCCCCTGGCTCTGGAATTCACTCCCCAGAGATATTAGGCAAGCCCCCATGCTGGCAATCTTCAGGAGGAACCTGACAACCTGGTTCCAATGTGCCTTCAGTGATTGAATGTAAGATACTCCCTGACCAAACTCTGCATAAAATGACCTCAGAAGCACTTTATTTTACTGTTCGTGCAATTGAATCCTTCCTCATCCTCGGATCCCCCTTCCTGACAATTTTGCACTGCCCAGTGTTTAAAATTTTAAAATTTATCCTTGAATTTGGCCCCGCCCAGGGAAATTATCTTGTGTTTTAATTGTTTGATTTTATATTGCTGTGTTGTCTATTATATTGGTTTTGCATTTTTGTATTTTATTTTCTGGTTTTGTTATGTTTTTGTGTAATATTGTGTTTGTTGTATTGATGGGCGTGGCCTAATGTAAGCTGCTCTGAGTCCCCCTGGGGGTGATGGAGCGGGGTATAAAGTTTATTATTATTATTATTATTATTATTATTATTATTATTATTATTGTACCAGGTTTCTCACAGGAATGACCTTGGCAGCTCAAGGCTCTGTTTTCCTCCTCCATTTATCTGCACATTATCCCAAGCTGTGAATGAGAAACAACCCTTCTTCCTAGCATCATCAGCTGTATAGCACATCCTACAAGCCAACATGGCAATCCTGACACAGAGAGAAGTTCCGTTATGTTCAGCCAGATAGACTTGCCTCTCCATCTTCCTCTACTTAGTGCATTCCCATCATGAGAGTTTGCATTAAGATGTCTCTTAAAAGCTGTGATTCTACACACAATAAATGTGATTAACTCACGGTGTAGAATTGCAGGCCTAAGAGTCATGCAGTTTTATGTTAATCACATGTGTGAATTAATTATATTTACGGTTGGAACTGTGAACCAAAGGTACTGTTAAAGCCTCAAAGAAATCACTAGGATGCTAAGATGTATCTAGTTCTGGCCTTATATTTTGCATCAATAGTTGTATCAGTTGTTATCAATTCCTAATAGTAATGATAAATTCACTGCTGAGAGAAGTAATTCAAGCTGCCTTCTGACACACACAGATTTACAGAGAAATCAAACTGAACGTGGCTCTGAAGATCCAAGCTGCCTTTTCCTGGAGCAATGAATCACCAAACTATTTTTGCCGCAGAGTGCGTTGAAAGTAACCCAGTTCTATTCATTGATCCTCTGTGAGATGCCAGGGAAAGTTAATGGGCATAAAGAGATGCTTGGGCCAGGAGACTGAAGTGGTAAGATGAATGGGCAAAATACTTCTGTAAAGCAGATCCAGTGGGTGCTGCTGAGCCGACATAAATCACTCCTCCTAAATTAGGCTGTGAAAGAAAATAAACAAAGCACACATACTTGGTAAGTATTAGAGGTGTGCGGTTAATGAAAAACGAGAAAAAAGTTTCAATATTATTACATGGGGGCGGGGTGGTGCAGAAAATAGTTTCTAAAATGTTTCTAAAATATTGTAAGGGATTCGTATCAAAACTACTACAATGTAATGATTTTCTCCTTACTATTTTGTTATGTAATTGCACAAATGAAAAAGATTTCAGGGCTCCTCTCTCCTTTGTTTTTACAGATATCAAGATGAAACTTTCTACAATTGTAGAACACTTTTACCACTGTCCCCCCAAGTTTCAGAACGTTTCACACATCCACTGATTTTTGTGAATGTTTAACAGTTTTTATGAACAACATTTTAAAAAAACCTACAAGATCTATCTCCTTGAATTTCTATTTTCAATGATACAACATAAACAGGGCATCATTCCCCATAAGGTTAAGAAAGATTTGCATATCCACTGATTTTTTAGGGAATTTTAACCAACATAAATTTATCAATACTATTTCACTGGAAGTTCCCAGGGGCCATCCAGTCCAACCCCCTTCTGTCAGATAGAAAAAGCACAGTCAAAGCACCCCATCATATGTGCATCCAGTCTTTGAAATAATAATGGAACACCGAAGAAGGAGACAGAAGGCCTGATTTTTGGAGCCCAGGAACAAGCAATCAAAACAAATGCAATTAAGGCCAGGATCGAAAAATCAGCTGATGACCCAAAATGCAGGCTGTGCAAGGAAGCTGATGAAACCATTGATCATATCCTCATCTGCTGCAAGAAAATCACACAGATGGACTACAAACATAGGCACAATTATGTGGCCCAAACAATCCATTGGAACTTGTGCTACTAGTACAAGTTTACTACTGCTAGTAGTAAAGAACTGGTGAGATCATAAACCTGCAAAGGTAGTGGAAAATGAACATGCAAAAATACTGAGGGACTTTCGAATCCAGACTGACAAAGTTTTGGAGTATAATACATCTGCATGTCTGCATCATGGTTATGGAAAAGAAAAAAGTTTGGATTGTTTATGTTGCCATACCAGGAGACAATTGCATTGACGAAAAACAACAGGAAAAACTCAGTTGTTATCAAGACCTCAAAATCGAACTTCAAAGGCTCTGGCATAAACCAGTACAGGTGGTCCTAGTAGTAATCAGCACACTGGGTGTCGTGCCAAAAGATCTCAGCCAGCATTTGAAAACAATAAACATTGACAAAATCACGATCTGCCACCTTACTTGGATCTGTGCACATAATCCAAAAATACATCACATAGTCCTAAATGCTTGGGAAGTGTTCAACTTGTGATATATATATCTCATTTGCTGTGTTTTTATGTCAGAATAATAATAGTGATGATGATGATAATGATAATAATGGAAAATTACTCACAGCAACGGCATAGAGATGCTGAATGGACAAACCAATAATGCAATCAGCCTGAAGCTTATAAATATCTGGGCATACTACAGTTGGAGAATATCAAGCATGGGAAAGTGAAAAATGTGGTCAGCAAAGAATATGTCCAAAGAGTCAGAAAGGTTTTGAAGAGCAAATCAAATGGCGGAAATACAATCATGGCTATTAACACCTGGGCCATCCCCGTCATCAGATACACTGCTGGAATTGTGGACACAAGCAGAGCTAGATATCTGGACAGAAAAACAAGAAAACTGATGACAATCCACTACTCATTACACCCGCATAGTGATGTCGACAGACTTTACCTGCCCAGAAAATCAGGAAGCAGAGGTCTTCTGCAAGTGAAACAAACGGTAGAAGAAGAGAAACATGCACTGGCAGATTATGTGAAAGGCAGCCAAGGGAAGAACATTGAGGGAAGTCAAAAGTAGAAAACTGCTTAAAGTACAAAAGACAAAGAGGGAATACTGTAAAAACACAATGCAGAGCAGAAGAGAAAACTGGCAAAAGAAGGCTCTCCATAAACGGCTCCTGGGGAAAATTGAGAGCAAAATTGACAAAGAAAAAACATGGCTGTGGCTCACAAATGGAACCTTGAAAAAGGAGACCGAGGACCTGATTCTGGCAGCCCAAGAACAAGCCATTAGAACCAATGCCATCAAAGCCAGAATTTAAAAGTCGACAACAGATCCCAAGTGTAGACTCTGCAAGGAAGCAGATGGAACAATAGATCCTCAGCTGCTGCAAGAAGATTGCTCAGCCAGACTACAAGCAGAGGCATAACACTGTTGCTCAGATGATTCATTGGAACTTGTGCCACAAATACCATCTGCCTACGACAAAGAACTGGTGGAATCACAAGCCTGAAAAGGTTACAGAAAATGAACATGTCAAACTACTCTGGGACTTCCGAATTCAGACTGACAGAGTTTTGAAACACAATACTACTGATCTCACGATCATGTTAAAAAACCAGGTATGGATCAATGTTGCAATCCCAGGTGACAGCAGGATTGAAGAGAAAAACTTGAAAAGCTGACACGATAGAAGGTTTTAAAGATCGAACTGCAAAGACTTTGACATAAGCCAGTAAAGGTGGTTCCAGTGGTGATCGGCATACTGGGTGAAGTGCCTAAAGACACTTGAACACAATCAGTGCTGACAAAATTACCATCTGTCAGCTGCAAAAGGCCACCCTATTGAAATCTGCACTCATTATTTGCTGCTACATCACACAGTCCTAGACTCTTGGGAAGTGTCCGATGTGTGATCCAATACAACAGCCAGCAGAGTGACCTTGTTTGTGCTGTACTAATCTTTTTATGTTTCAAATAATAATATGGAGAACCTACTATGTAAACTTTAGAGTTACTGCCTCTTGACTTTGCCTACCTCACAGGATTGATTCAACTCCCAACAATCCCCCTTTATCCCTTTTAGAGAATGAACATGGGTTTTCCCCCACCAAAACATTCAAGGAGGAGGAGGAGGAGGAACAAGGCAGTTTTAGTGCAGACAGTTCCAGTATTCTGAAGTGGACAGAATTCTGGGAAATGGTAGTTTCCCAGAATGAGGACTCCTGTGGTAGAGAATTTAAAAGGCCCCACCCAAAACTACATTTTCCAAAATTCTGCTCACTTCGGAATACTGGAGCAGTCCGTGTTAAAGCCTCAATGGGATTAGTGTGGTCTCAGGGCCGGCCATGTGCCGGAGGGGCTTTTACCTTGCCCAGCCCTCCAGCCAGGCATCCCTTCCACATTCTCATATTCTAAATATTAAAAATAGGGTGAAATGCAAGCATCAAGAAGAATTATTTATACAGAATGTATATGTATACAAATATCTCTGTTGAGATGGTAGATGAATTCTTGGTTATGACACTATCTCTCAGAAGAAATTAGAGAAACCATATACCTATATTTTAAAAAGTTTAATGGCATTCTCTAACTAGGACTGAGTTTAATTTACTATGACCTTGGATAAGTAATTCTCTCTGCCTTGGTTTTACAATACCCAATTCAGATGTGCTTCTAGATCTGAATTAAATATTGCAGCAATTCAAGATGCTCCATTGAACAGAGAAAATTATTATTAATCTCTTTCAGAACACCTTTCTATATCAATAGCTAGCAATTGGGATTTTAAAAACAATACACTATCAGATGTATTGCTATCTGGCATCCAACCAGGTCTTTATAACCTTCTATTGATCGGGGACATTTTTAGAAATAAATGAAGTAGGTATATATTTAGAATAAGATGGTAAGCAAGCCAATGTTTACAAAAGTCAATGCGAACCTTTCAGTGGGGCCTTGTATCCAATGCATGCTGCACTCAGCTTTTTTCAAATTACCAGGGCCTTGATTGTGTGTGGACAGGACTGGAGATCCAAAGAGGGGCAAGTGAATTTCTGATATCCGCTTCCTCAAAATAAATGTCGAAGCTCCCTTCCATTGCATTATTTTTACAAAGATAAAAAGCTCTTCATCTTGGTTTTCTGGGATCCGGGAGTTCGGAAAACCAAGAGGGTAACCACCTCCTCCTTCAAAACCCCAAAAGAAGCCCTTTTAAAAAAGAAAAACTTACTCGGCCTCCATTAAGGTAGTGCTGGTGGTGTGCGATTTTTCTCTCTCCCCACCCCCCGAGTCTACTGGTCTGTCATTTCTACGTGCCAGGACTCCATAAGTACCTTAATTAGAGCTGGGTAAATTTTTCTTTCCAGCTATGTTCCTATAGCTACTGTAGATGTAGAGTGATAGATATCCTCAGGCCTTTTCTGGGGTCCTTTTCAGGGAGTTACCATGCTACATCTAGCTATGTTCACGTAGCAAGATGTTGTAATAAAGCCTGTGAGTAACGTTACAATCAGTAGTATGGGTGCCAGAAGGGGAAAAAGGGTTACTTGGGAGCAGGAATCTGATGTTGAGCAGCAGAAAAAGAGGATCAGGGACATACTTACAGCACCTGCAAATGAGGAGTCGTTTGAGGGATTCTTTGGGGATGATGGGTCAATGAGTGATGTTACAAACAGTAATCTGGGTGCCAGAAGGGGGGAAAGGGTTACTTGGGAGCAGGAATCTGATGATGAGCAGCAGAGAAAGAGCACATATTTACAGCACCTGTTCTGTCGCGCGCTGGGCCTGTAAAGAATTTCCTTTGGAACAGGATGTGCAACCTTTGCCCAGCTGGAAGCCAGGGGGCACAAAGAGAAGTTCTCAGAGGTTTTCCACCACAAATGATCTTTAGATGGCTTGTGAAGTATAATAAAGTTCTTTATTAATGAACAATCAAACAGAAACTTCTCTTGTCTTCAATAAAGCTAAACAAATGCTTCCAAGCGTTATGCAACTGGTGACTTCCTAATCTTGCCCATGAAGGATAGGCAACTGTCTTCTTTACTTTAAATGGAAAATCCCCTTTTTAACTTCTCCCAGGCTGACTGTAATCTAACCCTTACTGATGTGGGCTCCGTTACCGGGTCGAACTGCGTCTCGAAGCACCGAGTGGACCTACCAGTAAGGGCTTAGATATTCTCCAGCTGGAGTTCTTTG